AATAACTAACAATTCATCAAAAAAAAAAGAAGAATCAATTTGGGCCCAAGAACCTGTGGAATAGGCCATAGGGTCTCGGGGAGAACCTAATGTTGTTTGCTATTAAATGGACACAGTGTTAGAACAATTCTAATGACTTACAACTATACCCATAGCGCATCTCTCCACTCTAACCCAGAAGTGTCTTGCAGCAGATAGCAGTTAGCACAGAGAACCTCAACCGGTCTTTGTGCAGAGAGTAAGACTGGAGTGCTGAGCTCCAAATGGGACATTCATACCACACCCTCCCAAAAAGCTCAGCAATCTTCAAGAAGATGTGGTAGAACAATTCTAAGAGCCAGAGTTGGACCATAACGTCGAGGAAACAGAGCTTGCCCAGTACAGCAGAGCAGTCGCACCTATGGACACACGGCAATGACAACAAGCACAAAACTTGTAGAAGGTGAAGCCAGACTGAGTCCCGGCAGGGCCACTGGGTGGGGGAGGGGGGACAGAGTGCACGAAACCCCATCACTAGTTTAGGAGCTTTCGCCATTTAATAGCTGCTAGGAGCAGGGAGATCAGCTTTTTAAAGGGTGTCACCCTTGGTGGGTTGACTGCATTGTGACCCAATGGCAATGGGCAACAGACGCTATACTCAATGAGGGAGGGGAAGAGAGGCTGGAGGATAGGGTCGATATGGGAGGAGTTTGGGGAGGGAAGGTGTGCTAGCTACTCTTGGCTGTCAGCTTGACTCCATCTGGAATGAACTAAAACCCCATGCAGCCTGTGGGGTTTTTTCTTGACTGAATTATTTGAAGTGGAAGCCCCACCCTAACTTGGGGCCACACCTTCTAGTGGCAGTGGATATATAGGGCCTGGAAGAAAGAGGCTTTCATTTTTTTTATCTGCTCGTTCTTACTCTCGCTGGCAAGCTCATCTACCCTGCTGCTGAGGCGTTCCTTCACAGGCATCACAGCCTGCTTCTCCTGCTTTCCAATGTGTACCAAAGACTGACTGAGACATCCAGCCTTATGGATTGAACAACTGTCGGGTTCTTGGACTTTCCATCAGGAGACAGCCATTGTTGACCAGATGAAGATCACAAGTATCGACACTGGGACTGCTGTCAAGCCACCAGAGTTGCTGCTGCAGTTGGCTTTCCCTCTGAGCCTGAATCCAGATGAAGACAAACCACAGGAGGACTTACACAAAATAAACGAAAACAGTCGGGGAAGTGAAAAAACTAAGCCAGGAGACACATACATTCCAAGAGAAATTCAAAACATGGCAGAGGAACATTGAATATGAAACTGCTCCAGGGTGATGCTCCCACAAACTGAGAGCGTGAATATGAAACTGCTCCGGTGTGATGCTCCCACAAACTGAGCCCCTCAGCCCCAGAAAACAAAGGTGATGAAATCATAGAAATACCAGAAAGAGATTCTGGAGTCCTACTTTTTAAAAGGATCAGTGACCAAATGGAAAACTCACATAAACAGAAAAGTTAACTCAAGACCTAGACCAGAGCATTACTAAATGAACTGAGGGAGGACTGTAACAGTCTCAGACATCATTAGCACAATTGACTCCATGATGGAAGTACCATTCAGGTCACAAAACTCAGCACATAGACAACATCACCTTGGCATCGAAAACAAAGGCCCAATCCATCAAAGTCCACAGTTCTGGGAAAGTCTCAAAATGAACTAACCTTGCTTTTTGGCTTCTGTAGTTCTGCTTTGGCTAACTGTTCTTGTTAACTGAAGTATGTCAACCCAGGACATGGTTTTGTGCTTAAAAGCTCACCCAGAGAAAGGTTGAGGGCTACAGTGGGATCCTGAATACCCATTGTAGTAACTGGCCAGCTAATAGAAACTTTCTATTGGCTTAAACCCACATCTGAGCAGTCTTCTCTGATAGATCCCCCACAACCAGGACCTAGGCAAGAAAGCTAACAAAATAATTAAAGCGATTAACAAGTTGGAGAAAAAAAGTTAAACAGGAAGAAAAATTCAGCAAGGAAACTGAAAGAATCAGAAATTCTTTTTTTTTTTTGAGACAGGGTTTCACTGTGGCTTTGGAGGCTGTCCTGGAACTTGCTCTGTAGACCAGGCTGGCCTCAAACTGACAGAGATCCACCTGCCTCTGCCTCCCAAGTGCTGGGATTAAAGGCATGTGCCACCAATGCCGGCCCAGAAATTCTTAAAATGAGAAAATCAAACAAATAACACATCAGAAAGCAAGAGAAACAGAGATGATCAAACAAAGTCACACAGCAATAATATATATGAATGTACACAAAGAAGAACATTAATGGACAAAAGTGCCAAGAAGTCTAGAATACATTCAAGAGACCACATTTAAGAATCCAGAGAGTAAAAGAATCAAGTGGAAATGAGGACAATTCTGGGACACTACCAAGGCCATCTTGAGAGAAATGATTATAGCTGTAAGTACCCATATTTAAAAAAAAACTCAAATCCTAATGGTGCACCAACTCTCTAGAAAAACAAGAAGCCACCAAACCCTAATGAAAAATTAATCTAATTTCTAACTAAACTAACTAAAAATTGGTAAAATTGGAGGTGAAAAGAGTTGTTATAACAGATTCCAATGAAATCAGCTATGTTGGAAGAGGGGCCAGAAAGAGTGTAAGAACCAGAGAGGATGAAGACACCAAGGAAACCCTCTTCTAAACATGACAGAGACTGATGCACGTATGAACTCAGAGACTTGGCAGCAGCACAGGACCTGCACAAGTTCAAGCCAGATGAGGTCCCAGCGCTGAGGTGGGAAGGGTCTAGGAGGAGATGGGGAGGGGATACCATGATCAGAATATACTGTCTAAAATAAATTTCAATTAAAAAATAAGAACACATATTGTACAAAAATGCTTAATATACACGAACAAGAAATTCTGCATGGAAAATCAGCAGGTGCAGTTGTGCCCTATGGGATGGGAGAAAATACTTGCAAACTATTCGTCTGACACCCAGAATTCAAAGGAATTAAAAAAATTATCAAGAAGAACCCAATTTCAAAATTGGTAGCAGGTCTAGATAGATACTTCTTAAACAAATACATATTTTCTCTATGAATAAAATATTAACACCAGGACTCATCAGGGAAATACAAATAAAACTGAAAGTTACCACCTTACTCCAAAAAGACCAAACTTAATGCCAGTGAGGGTACAGCAAAAACAGAACCATTGCTCACTGTTGGGATATAAGTTGCTATAGTCATAAAGATAGCATTGGGATTCTTCAAAAGTTAAAGAAGTGCCACATAAGTTAGCAATTCACTACTGTGTGTATATGCAAAAGAAATAAAATCAGTACGTGGAAGAGCCATCAATGCTTCATTGAAGGGTTCTTTTCAGTAACCAAGAGATCTTAAAAGCAAAGTGTCAATCACCAAATGAATGGATTTTAAAATGTGGTGCACATACACAGTGGAAATATATTCATTCATATATAAAGAATGAAATTGCCTGGGTGTGGTATGTGTGGCTGTGGTCAAGGGCTGAAATGGCAGCTTAGCTTGAACTCACAAGTTCAAGACTGCACTCGGCCACAAGGGCCACAAGAGGGAGGGAGTGGGGAAGGGATTCTTGTTTGGCAAAGATGGACGGGAAACTCATTGTGTTAAAATGGAATGCATTGGAAGACAAGTACTGTATGGTCTCACTCCTAGAAGGTGAGTGTGGGCTATTATTACCAGGTCCTTGGAAGGGAGGGAGAATGGGAGGGAGGGAGAATGGGAGGGAGGGAGGATGGGAGGGAGGGAGGGAAAGGGGAAAGGAGGGAGGGAGGGAGGGAAAGGGGAAGGGGAAAGGAGGGAGGGAGGGAGAATGGGAGGGAGGGAGAATGGGAGGGAGGAGGGAGGGAAAGGGAAAGGGAAAGGAGGGAGGCTGATCAGTGGATACTGAGTCCGTCAGGAGCAAGAAGTTCTGCTTTGCTGTTGCACTATGGGATAGCAATAAAAGAGTGAGGTGCATTTCTAAAAGCCAGAACAAGGGCTTTTAGGCAAGGGTTTGAGGAGATTTGTTTGGCCTGAGGTGAACATTGCACATGTATACTTGTATTGAACATTACACGGAAGGTACCCCCATTAATATGTATGCCTTTATGTCTTCATATAACAACTAAAATGTTTTTGATTTTTCTTATTATTTAAATTAGAAACAAGCTTGCTTCACATGTCAATCCCAGCTCCCTCTTCCTCCCCTCCTCCCCCGTCCCCACCAACCCCCTAGCCCCCCACCCAATCCCCACTCCACTCTCCAGGGAGGGTGAGGTCCCTTCATGGGTGGATCTCCAAAGAACTAAAATGTGTTTAAAAACATTATCCAAGTGGCAGGTCCAGCAGCAACTTGTAAGTCTCACCTTGCATTTGCATCTCTTGGGAGTTTTCAAAAACTTCCCTCGTATGTATGTATGTATGTATGTATGTATGTATGTATGTGTGTACGTACATATTATGTATGTATGTATCTATGAATGTCCCACTTGGACCACATTCCACATAGCTCTAATGAGCAGCAGGCTGACAGCCACCGTGCAGAATGCTGAACCCAACTACATGCCAGCTCCCAATGCTACTCACAAAACCTTATGGAGAATCTCGGGGTGTGGGGGAATGCAAACACACCAACTGAACCAGAGACTTCCCTAATGTCCCATGACACTCCCCACCAGCGTCCTCTCTCCTTCCTGCTCCTGGAGTCCCCTTTCCTCTCAGGCAGTGAGCCACTGCAATGGGTCAAGGCTTAGCCCCCAGGCCAGCTGTCCTGGGAACACAGTGATAACTGCAGTGCTGTAAAGCCTGTCTCTTTTAAATAGCTGAATCAGGGTCCTGGGTTTGAAACTCTATATTCTCTTATCTTCCATGGTAGTATTTTCCCACTGTGTGCTGTACAGATTTGATGTGAGCCATGGATCTGAATCCAGACGGCTTTTGGCTCTGCTCACAACAGGGGGACATAATGTTTGGCCCTGGACAGTGTGGCAACGACATTCCCAGAAGCCAGGAGCTGCTCTCAGGGTTTGCTCATGGGACAGCAGTTGGACAAGAGAGAAGGGTAACGATTGGAACTTTAGCACACTGCACTTCCTGCTGTGTTTGAAAGGCGCTGGTAGAGCCCAGGGTGCCTAGGTGGCACTGCTTAGCATGTGCTCTATCCCTCTGTCCCCAATGAACAAACTGCTCCTTCTGGAGAGGCTGCTCAGTGAGGGAGAGGGGATGGAATCGGGTTTGAATTACTCCCCTGAGTAGACTTGATGAGTAGACTAACCAAGTCATGGCTTGTTGGCTCTAAAGGTCAAGTGGAAACGTTTCGAGGCTGGGTTTTGCTGTTCCCTTGCCGTTAGGAGGCGCTCGAGGACAAGCGCTCTGCGCAGCCTCGCCTCGGAAGTTCTGTTAGTGTTTCAGGTTAGGCATGCAGCTCAGAACTTTCCAGCCAGTTGTTTTCCACCTGGAAAAAAATGGTTAAGCGACTTCCGAGTGAGTTCTTTTGGAAACAGAGCCTGGTAATTCTCATAGGGTGATCTCACGTTTTCAATTTTATTTTCTAATTTTACCCAAAGGGAAATAGCCAGAGAATTCCACCTTTTACAGAAATTGCCATCAAAACTCTGAGTTTATTCCTTGGAAGAGGTTGGAAAACCCTAACAAGGCCTTAATTACATTTGGAAACTACAAACACTAGCCAAGAGAAAAACAAAATCTGCTGTCATCTTCCATTAGGCCTTGGGTTGGTACTTTATACACTTCCAGTGCACGCAGAACATAAAATTCTACGATATAGACATGCCTTTGAATCTCCAAAAGGATTTTCTCAGGCTGAGGGTGCAGTTATGTGTAGAACACGTATGTTGCACATGTGGAGTGGTCAAGGGATTGTGGGGGAAGGGGGAGTTCTTATTTCAGGTGTGGTATGTGTGTGATGGAAAAATTAATAACTAAAAGGCATAAATGTTTAGGCTGAGAGAGAGAGAGACAGAGAGACAGAGAGACAGAGAGACAGAGAGACAGAGAGAGAGAGAGAGAGAGAGAGAGAGAGAGAGCACTCTGATCACCGAGTATGTGACCAGAATTTCGAACTCAGGAGCAGCTGCGCCAACATCTGCCCCATCCCCTTTTCTTGAGAAGACTGGGAACCAGATAGCCTCTTGACCTATGGGTCGTAAAACTTTTAGATCACAGGATATGCTCTGGTAATAAGCCCCTAGCCCACAAATGTGGCAATTAAGTTTACCTAGCCAGGTGACAGTTACTGTCTTCTTCAAGGCCCTTCATTTCATGATAACCTCATATGGGAACTTTGTGTGCTCTCTGTAACCATGGGAACCTTGCGAACTGAGACTTGTGGTCTCAGGACTCCCCTTCCCTTTTTCCCTTTAAAAGTTTCTCTTTTTGGCTGGTTGGCATCTCATTCCCTCCCTCCCCCATGGGGTGAGATCCAAGCTGGCCAGTTTGAACAATAAAAAGAAACCTTTTGCTTTTGCCTCAGAAGTGTCGACTCCTTGGGTCAGTCTCTGGGATTCCGAGAACCTGGCACAACATGTGTGCAGTTCTCTGGGGGCAGGTTTTTCTCAGAATGGCTCACAGAACCTGCAGGCATTCTATATTCTGTGACAGAAGACCTCGTGCTCTCGTGGCTTCCACGCCGTTGGCAGCAGGGCCTGTCCTCCAGCACCACCTAACCACAGGAGAAAGGCAAAACCTAGTTCTGACAGTCACCTACGTGTGTGTTATAGTACGGGCAGCTGAGGCAGAGAAAAGTTAAGTATGTTGCCCAAACATGGCAGAAATTAATACTGTGTCATAGTGAGGTTAATATCTCTTTACTACACACTTATTATATAACTATATTAGGACTCTCCAGAGAAATCGATCTGATAGAAGGAATATATCCTGAAAAGAAGCTAGATTGACTTACACTCTATGGTCTGGGTAGTCCAGCAATAGCTGAGAATGGTGGAGAATGTCGCTGCTCACTCTTGAGATTGGATTCCCCGGGACCACATAGGAGGGCTGAAGAAGCTAGACTCTAGTGTCCGAGGAGGACATCGGTGGCAGTGGCAACAGAAACAATAGCATAGATGAATAACAGGAAGGCAAGAAGGCAAAAACCAAAACAAGACAAACTGAAAACACAAAGCTTCCCCATCAGACATTGCATCTGGGCTCACAGGAAGGTGCTTACAGGGCAGACCCACCAACTTCAGTAACTGCCACCAAGAAATCCCTGCAGGCATGCCCAGTGTTAATATGAGCTAGATTAATATTGGGCATGTGCAGTGCAGATGTGCCCACAGGCTTGCCTCAGGTGATTCTAGATCCTGTCAAATTGGCAATATGAACTATCACAATGACATACTTTCTATATATTTGATCTTCCCAACACTCCTACTACAGCTCTACTTTTATAGGGGACTTGACGATCAGAAAGCTAAGTAGTCTACCCAGACTCACATTTAGAAAGAAGTGACAGGACCCAAACAGGGTCTCTTGAAGTCCCTTCTCGTGCTTCCCCAGTTCCCCCTTAAGCCTTCCCGATTCCACACACTACTGAAACTCTGCCTGCCAAGGTCTCTGGGGAGCACATCACCCAACCCACCAGTCAGCCCAGTCACCCTGCCCTGCCTGTCAGCATGTGAAGTGCTTAACCACACTTCCTCCATCCCCTCATCCAGGACCTCTAGGATTTCTTCTTCTCTTGCTCAAGCCTTGGCATCTTTCAGAGTTCTCTTTTCCTCTCCGTCTTAGTGTCCCAGGGTACCAGAACTCACCCCATGGATTAAAGCATGCTAGGCTGTGGTTTTAACCATGACCTCTATCCTGAGGACTCCTGCCTTTGTAAAACCAGCCAAGATCCCTCTCCCAAGATGACTTAAATGCCCACTTGATCTCATCACTCAAATATCCAGATATTTCAAACTTAACATATCTAAGATGGAGCTCATGATATCCATCCCATCTGCATTTCAGCTTAAATCCTTCAGTTGCTGGCATTTCAACAAGCAATCCTCATAACCATTCAGGGATGAAGCAGCAGAGGGCCTTCAACCAAGAGGAGAAAGGGCAGGGGAGATTGAGAGCTGACCTGAGCTAAGAGGTAAGTGTGGTAACATATGTGGTCAGCTGTCTCCTATACATAAAAAACAGGCGCAGTCTCTGGCCACAGTGGGCTGGGTCCTCCCACATCAATCCCTAATTAAGTAAACAATCTACAGGCTTGCCTACAACCGATATATTGGAGTCATTTTCCAACCTGGGGTTCCCTCTTCATAGATGACTTTAGCCTGTGTCAAGATAACATAAAATTAGCTAGGACAATCGACCCCTTGGCAGATGACACTCATCCCAAAAATTGCACATTAATAAATATCTCAAATATTAAACACCAAAAACTTAAGTCCCACAGCTCTTATGGATTCAAACACTTTAAAAGTTCAGTCTTTGTAAAAAAAATATAGTCTCTTTTTAAATTTTTTTATTTAAATTAGAAACAAACTTGTTTCACATGTCAATCCCAGCTCCCTCTCCCTCCCCTCCTCCCCTGCCCCTCTCTGGCCCCCCACCCAATCCCTACTTTGCTCCCCAGGGAGAGTGAGGCCCTCCATGGGGGATCTCCAGAGTCTATCATTTCATCCAGGGCAGGGCCTAGGCCCTCCCCCATGTGTCCAGGATGAGAGAGCATCCCTCATTGTGGAAATGGGCTCCCAAAGTCCATTCATATGCCAGGGATAAATACTGATCTCCTATCTGAGGCTCCATAGATTGCCAAGGCCTCCTCACTGACACCCAAATTTAAGGGGTCTGGATAAGTCCCATACTGGCCTCTCAGTCTGGGGTCCATGAGCTTCCCCTTGTTCAGGTCAGCTGTTTCTGTGGGTTTCACTAGCCTGGTCTTGACCCCTTTGCTCATCACTCCTCCCTCTTTGCAACTGGGTTTCTGGAGTTCAGTTCACTGTTTAGCTGTGGGTGTCTGTCTCTGCTTCCATCAGCCACTGGATAAAGGCTCTAGGATGGCATATAAGGTAGTCCTCAATCTTATTATTAGGGAAGGGCTTTTAAGGTAGCCTCTCCACTATTGCTTAGTTTGCCAGTTGGTACCATCCTTGTAGATCTTGGGAAATCACACTAGTGCCAGATCTCTCCTCAAACCTATAATGACTCCCTCTATTATGGTATCTCTCATCCTGTTCTCCTCTGTTCTTCCACTGACTCAACCTTTCTGCTCCTCCATGTCCTCCTCTCCCCTCCTCTTCTCTCCCCTTCTGTCCCATTTCCCTTCTCAATTGGGGTACCATGCATATCTCTCTTAGGGTCCTCCCTGTTTCCCAGACTCTCTAGCAGTGGGATCGTAGGCTGGCACTCCCCTGATCCATGTCTAAAATCCATATATGAGTGAATAAATACCATGTTTATCTTTTTTGTTACTGAGTTACCTCGCTCAGGATGGTTTCTTCTAGTGCCATCCATTTGCCTGCAAATTTCAAGATTCCATTGTTGTTGTTTTTTTCCCACTGAGTAGTACTCCATTGTGTAAATGTACCATATTTTCTCTATCCATTCTTCAGTTGAGGGGCATCTAGGTTGTTTCCAGGTTCTAGCTATTAAAAATAATGCTGCTAAGAACGTAGTGGAACAGACGTCCTTGTTGTATGAATGTGCATCTTTTGGGTATATGCCTAAGAGTGGAATTGCTGGGTCTTATGGTAGACTGATTCCCATTTTCCTGAGGAATCTCCATACTGATTTCCAAAGTGGATGTAAAAGTTGGCATTCCCAACAGCAGTGTAGGAGTGTTCCCCTTTCTCCACATATTCTCCAGCATAAACTGTCATTGGTGTTTTTGATTTTAGCCATTCTGACAGGAGTAAGATGGTATCTCAGAGTTGTTTTGATTTGCATTTTCCTAATGGCTAAGGATGTTGAGTACTTTAAGTGTCCCTCAGCCATTTTAGACTCCTCTATTGAGAATTCTCTATTTAGTTCTGTACCCCACTTTTTAATTGGATCCTTTGGTGTTTTGGGGATTTGTTTCTTGAGTTCTTTGTACATTTTGGAGATCAGCCCTTTGTCAGATGTTGGGCTGGTGAGTATCTTTTCCCATTCTGTGGACTGCCTTTTTGTCTTGTTGACTGTATCCTTTGCCTTACAGAAGCTTCTCAGTTTCAGGAGGTCCCATTTATGAATTGCTGATCTCAGTGTCTGTGTTACTGGTGCTATGTTCAGGAAAGTCTCCTGTACCAATTCATTCAAGGGTACCTCCCACTTTCTCTTCTAAGAGGTTCAGTGTGGCTGGATTTATGTTGAGGTCTTTGATCCATTTGGACTTAAGTTTTGTGCATGGCGATAAGCATGGATCTATCTGCAGTCTTCTACATGCCAGCATCCAGTTATGCCAGCACCGTTTGTTGAAGATGCTTTCTTTTTTCCATTGTATAATTTTAGCTTCTTTGTCAAAAATCAGGTGTTCATATATGTGTGGGCTAATATCAAGGTGTTCAATTTGATTGCATTGGTCTATCTGTCTATTTTTGTGCCAATACCAAGCTATTTTCAGGACTATAGCTCTATAATAGAGCTTGAACTCAGGGATGGTGATGCCTCCAGACATTGCTTTGTTGAAAAGGGTTGTTTTGGTTATCCTGGGTCTTTTGCTTTTCCATATAAAGTTGAGAATTGTTCTTTCAAGGTCTGTGAAGAATTGTGCTGGTATTTTGATGGGGATTGCACTGAAAAAACTTTCTTTTAAAATTCAAAATCTCAGGCATTCATTGGGAACCCACGGGTCACTTTGGCCAGGGAAGCAGCAAATCTTCAGCCCTCCCTCAGCTCCTCCAAGTCTAATCCCCCAGTCTCATCTCCTGCTCTACAGCAGACCATCTGCAGCAGCTACCTCCTCCCCACTCTCCAGTGGACCCCACAGATCTTCCACTCCAAACTTCCTTCCCCCAAACATTACTTTATCCCAGCTCCCAACTCCAACAGGCATTCTCTGGGTACCTGCAGGTCACTTTGGCCAGCAAGGCAGACTACCTGCAGATGGTCACCTCTCTCTCTCCATTCCTTTAAGTTCAATTTCCCATTCTCAGCCCCAGCTCTGTAGCAGATCTTCTGCTGTGGCCCCTCTGCATTCTCTGCCCCCAATCCCAGGGGACTGAGAAGATCCTGTTAGAACATACAGCTTTCCTGCCTCCTAGGGAACCCTCAAGACTCTCAGCCCATCCCCACTCTCAAATCTCAGCTCCTAATACCCAGAAGTGCATTTACCTGGAACTCCCAATCTCCCACTATCAGTGTGTGAGAATCAATATGTGTCCTTCACTATCTCTTCTATTTAGTTTTGATTTGAAGTCAAGTTTTGATTTGCTTCTTAGATCCATTTATGTGAAATAATCTCAGTGTAAAAGGAAGTCACATACTCAAAGGAAAAATCTACCAAAAGGGCATTGTAATTCTTAACATCTATGGCCCAAACAAAGGGCACCCTAGTTTGTAAAAGAACCATCTTAAGTCTCATATTGACTCTTACACTCTGATAGTGGGAGAATTCAATACCTAACTCTCACCAATAGATTATCCAGACAAAAACTGGACAGAGAAATGCCAGAGCTAACAGATGTTATAAACCAAGTGGACCTAACAAATATTTACAGAACATTTCACCCAAACACAAAAGAATATACCTTCTTCTCAGAAGCTTATGGAACTTTATTCAAAATTTACCATATATTCAGATGCAAAGCAAGCCTTTTTTTTTTTTTTGGTTTTTATGAGGCAGGGGTTCTCTGTATTGTTTTGGAGGCTATCGGTCCAGCCCAGCCTCGAACTCACAGAGATCCGCCTGCCTCTGCCTCCCGAGTGCTGGGATTAAAGGCGTGCGCCACCACCACCCGGCGCAAAGCAAGTCTTAACAGACACAAGAAAATTAAAACAATACCCTGAGTCCTGTCTGACCATCACAGATTAAATAAAGCTGGATATCAGAAACAACAGAATGCTTACAAACACATGAAAACTGAAAAGCTCTTCTGAATAAAACAGTGGGTCAAGACAGAAATTAAGAAATGAAAGGCTTTCTAAATTAAAATGAATATACAGCATACCCAAACTTATGGACTCAGTGAAGTTGATTCTAAGAGGAAAGTTCATAGCACTAAGTACCTACATAAAAAGAAAAACCTGGAGAGATCTCATACTAGTAACTCAACAGCATACCTGAAAGCTCTAGAATAAAAGGAAGAACTCACACCTAAAGAAACAGTCCAAGTCAGGACTGAAAGCAACAAACTAGAAACAACAGCAGCAAACAAAAAAAAAAAAACATACAATGAAGAAATAGTTTGTTCTTTGATTAATCATTAAAATTGAAAAGATGAATCATTAAGATTGAGAAAACGTTTATTCAAATTATCTAAAAGTCCAGGGGAGAATATTCAAATTAACAAAATCAGAAATGAAAAGGGGGACATAACAATAGGCACCAAGGAAATCCAGAGAATCATAAGGACATGCTTTAAAACCCTGTACTCCCATCAAATTGGAAAATCTAAAATAAATAGAGATTTTTTTGGATAGGTACCACCTACCAAAGTTCAATCAAGATCAGATAAGCTATTTAAATAGACTTAGAATCACTAGTGAATTAGAAGCAGTCATTAAAAGTCTCCAAACCAAAAAAAGCTCAGGACCAGATGGCTTTAGTGCATCTACCAGACTTCCAAAGAAGAGTTAATGCCAATATTCCTCAATTACTTCACATTATGAGGCCATGGTTACGCCAATACCCATAAGCACATAAAGACCCAACAAAGAAAGATAATTACAGACTAATTTCCTGTAGATGGAGTTTCTGTCTACAATTTCCCTTGTGAACATAGATGCAAAAATATTCAATAAAATACTTGTAAACCAAATCCAAGAATGTATCAAAAGGATCATCCACCATGATCAAGTAGGCTTCTTCCCAGAGATGCAGGGATGGTTCAATGTGTGTAAATCCGTAAATGTAATTCCCCATATAAACAAACCGAAAGAAATAAAACATAAGATCATCTCATTAGGTGCTGAAAATACCTTTAACAAAATCCATCAGTCCTTCAT